CATCCCTCTAGTTGCTGTATGTGGGACGCGGCCTCAGCATAGCCAGAGAAGCGGTGCGTCGGTGCGCACCTGGGATCCGAACCCGGGCTGCCAGTAGCAGAGCGTGCGCACTTAACCACTAAGCCACGGGGCCAGCCCTTATTGTGTTTTTAATGTGCAATTCACCATTGGCTAGGAGGTTGGGCGTCTTTTCCTGGGTTTATTTGCCATGCTTGTTTTTGATTAAATGTCTAATTATTTATTCATTTTTTATTGATTTGTTTGCTTTCCTATTGTTGATTTTTAAGAGTTCTTTATATGTTTGGATCTGCCTCTCGCATGAGCCACTCAGGAGTTGTCTGGGACTTCATAGGGGTTTACATTCTAGTTCATTTCTCAAAGCATTTGCTGTACTTTGTTGGGTTGTTCCCTTATGTGCAGTTTAGGAGTAAGCCTGTAACTACTCACAGAATTAGGGAATTCCCTTTTCCACTTCTCTCCTCCTTTTGCCCCACTCTCTGACTCCCTTCTCCAATTACCTGTGGCCAGAAAGATGGGGTTTTCTTGCAAATTCAGCCTCCCATGCTATTGTACGGTTTTGAGCAACTGGGCCTGCCCTACAAACAAAAAAGCAAAAGAGAAAAAATAACAGGGGATCCTCCCCAACTCCTTGCAAGTAGGGGGTCCCTTTTCCCGGTTCCCCAGCCTGGGAGTGCAGTTCCCCAACTGGGGCTGGGGCTGATCTCTGGGCAGAGCTAGGAGAGAAAAACAGAGAAAGAAGTCACTCCTCAGGGGCCCTTTTCCCAGTCCTCTGACAAGATGGATTTCTCTGAGTTTTTGCTATCTTTGATTCATCATCTCAGGTCTAAGCTGGGTGATAAAGGAGGAAAAACCCCAGGAAATTCACTACCACCTTACAGGTTGCTCTTCAAGTTGTGCCTTCCCTCCTCAGTCCACCTGCCATTACTTACTTTTCAGGGTCCTCAGGTAATTGCTTTTTGTATTTTGTCCAGGTTTTTAGTTGAAATCAGTGAGAGAGGTAGCCTGCAGCAGGCATTTTGGTTGGCATCTGAATTTTCTCTCCCTGGATTTTCAAGGTTGGAGAGCCCAAGGGCTCAGTCCTGGGCGCTCTTCTCATCTCTGTCTACACACTCTCCCTTTGTGATTTTGTCCAGTTTCATTGTCTTAAATAATCTCCCAAATTTGTGTTGTCAGTCTGGCTCTTTCTCCTGAACTCCAGAACTGCTTGTCCAACTGCTTCATTGACACTTGGATATCCAATAAACATCACAAAGTTAGCACTTCCAAAACTGAACTCCTCATCTCCCCTGCCCCAAACCTGCTGCAGTCAGTCTTCCCCATTTCAGTAAATGGCAAGTCCATCCCTGCCTTTGTTCAGGGCAAAAAATTTGAGGTCTTCCTTAATTCCTGAGAGAGATGGAGAACCAGCACTTTGGATTTGCATTATTAATGAGAAGTAGTAAATAATACATAGAACACTAAGCTCAAATGGAGGAAGATTAACCTGAGAAAAAATTAAAAGTTGGGTAGAAAAGGAAAAATGATCAGACATGGATGAGCATTAACTGTCATAACTTAAACACTGAATAGTAAGTTAACCAAAACAATAATAAAAATAAATGAGGGATTTGGGGAAATGGTGATAAATAAATGGCAAGCAATAGGATATATTGGAGCATATGAGGAAGCCATTTGGTGTAAAACTAATTCGGCCTGACCTTGTTTTTCCAAAAAGTGCCGGAGGCCTCTGTTCATTCATTGTGTATCTGCTTTAAGCAATTAACATGTCTCAAAGATAAGAACAAATGCCCGTAAGATATGGATGCAACTTTCCCCACATTGGCATTTCCTTAAGGGTAAGCATTTCTCCCTAGGCTAGGATTTGATTGCTGTGCTCATCCTGTGACCACCCAACTCGAGACAACAGACCTGCCGCCAGCCATGCCCATGGACACGATACCTGCGGTGTCCATCAATCACTGTGCCGACAGGTCAAGCTTGCGACTGTTGTAAGAGAGACATTGCAATCATATGTGATACATTGATGTATATATATAACCTATATAACCACTCTGTACACCCCACTTCTTTGGAGTGCTCCATTTCTTTGTGAAAGGACTCTCCCGGGCTATATGGTCATCAAAAGTTGGCTCATAATAAACTCACCCAAATTTTGATTTATAGATTGGTTATGGATTTTTGCATCGACAATGGAAAGACTGCATGTGTGTGGTTGGGATGGAGGGTGGAAGGCTGTGGATCATGTCTAAATCTGAAAAAACCAAGTAGCAATAGAAGGATATTGTTTAGAGAGATGGAGAAAAATACCAAAAGAAACTCTAAAGAGTTGAAGGTAGTTGTCTCTGAGGAGAGAGAGTTGGGAGGGTAGAGAATGCTGTTTTTTATAAGTTGAGTAGAACTTTTTGGCTTTAAAGTATATGCATGTATAACTTTTATAAGAATCAAAATGGGGCCGGCCCGGTGGCGCAAGCGGTTAAGTGTGCGCGCGCTCTGCTGCGGCGGCCCGGGGTTTGCCAGTTCGGATCCCGGGCGCGCACCGACGCACTGCTTGGCAGTCCATGCTGTGGTGGCATCCCATATAAAGTGGAGGAAGATGGGATGTTAGCCCAGGGCCAGTCTTCCTCAGCAAAAAAGAGGAGGATTGGCAGATGTTAGCACAGGGTTGATCTCCTCACAAAAAAAAAGAATCAAAATGGTGTAGGATACACACCAGACTGTTAGATGATTAACAATGATTGTTTTTGTGGATGGAGGGAATCTTTCATTTTCTAAATTACATGTTACTATAAAGCTTGAATTTTTTTTAAGAAGCATGTATCCATTATATAGTTCTACTTTAAAATCATAAATTATATTAGTCAGTGTTCTCCAGAGAAACAGAACCAATAGGATATATATATATATAGAGAGAGAGAGAGAGAGAGATTAATTATGAGGAATTGGTTCGTTTGATTATGGAGGCTGAGAAGTCTTGTGATCTCCCATTACAAACTGGAAACCCAGCAATACTGGTAGTGTAATTCAGTCTGAGTCTGAAGGCTTGAGAACCATGGGAGCTAATGGTGTAAATCCCAGTCTGAGGGCAGGAGAAGATGAGATGAGATATGGCAACTCAAGCAGACAGGCAGGAAAAAAAAAAGGGAACGAATTCCTCCTTCCTCTGCCTTTTGTTCCTCAACAGATTGGATGATGCCCACCTACATTGGGGAGGGCAATCTACTTGTATCCACTGATTCAAATGCTAATCTCATCTGGAAACACCCTCACAGACACACCCAGAAGGAATGTTTAATCTGGGTACCCCACGGCCAGTCAAGGTAACACATAAAATTAACCTTCGCATAAAGGTGTAAGAAAATATTGGAGACCATTTTTAAAATCTTGGTGTAGGAAATGACTTTCTAAACATGACTTGAAACCAGAACCCACGAAATTTTAAATGTCTTTTATAGTAATTTATACCAATAAAAATTTTTTTAAGTGAATAAATATGTAGATAAAAATATAAATATGTAGAAAAATACTAGAGTCTATCAGATGGGTAACTCCTTCCACCTCTTATAATGAATTTATAAAACTCTAATCTCATCCCATCCATCCTCATCACCTTCTTTTTTTTTTGTTGTTGTTGTTGTGAGGAAGATCAGCCCTGAGCTAACATCCATACTAATCCTCCTCTTTTTGCTGAGGAAGACCAGCTCTGAGCTAACATCTATTGCCAATCCTCCTCCTTTTTTTGTCCCCCAAAGCCCCAGTAGACAGCTGCATGTCATAGTTGCATATCCTTCTAGTTGCTGTATGTGGGACGCGGCCTCAGCATGGCCGGACAAGTGGTGCGTCGGTGCGTGCCCAGGATCCGAACCCGGGCTGCCAGCAGCGGAGCGCACGCACTTAACTGCTAAGCCATGGGGCCGGCCCTTCACCTTCTTTTTAAGTCAAGGCGTTACCTCTCCAGGTCAAAGGCCAAACATTCCTCTTGTGATCTGAACTCCATCCTCTTTCCTTCTAAACTTTAACACAGTGATTCTCACTTTTGAATCTCAGGACCCCTTTACACTTGTAGGGGAGGAAAAATAATTTTCCCCCTACCCTTCTAAGTTTTTCTACTTTCTCCCCCCTACTCCCACCCCCACAGTAATAAAACACTAACAGGAGAAAAACAAACAGAAGTTTAATAACATGTGTAAATTTGTTACACGTATCTCCTGTATACATGGGAGATACCCAGGAAAACTGAGTGACTCCTGGAATGGCCCAAGCCACCACCTCAAATACCATCTCCAGCTAAAGACAAAGATGCTGGGGAGGGAGGCAGTTATGGGAGATCACCAGGAAAAGCACAGTAAACAAGGGTAAGGTTGTTAAGCAGATTTAAGTCCATGCCGTCCCCATTGATGAGCGTTTCTAGAGATTTCATCATCCCTTCTTCCTGGTACAGAGAGGGAGACACCCTTACAAATGGAGATTTTCCTTATAAATGTAAATATCTCTTACAAAAGGGTAACTTTTGTAAAATTCTTTTTTTTTGTAAAAAAAAAAATAACCAGCTCAAGATAATCCTTATGACAAACAGGTATATTTTGAGGTGGCATAAGGATTATTTTGAGCTGATTATTTTGAAAAACTGCAGACATACATAGTGATACAGGCTCAAGACAAGGTTGACATGAGGGAAGCCATTGTAGAAAAGAAACCCTATTGTAACTTTGAGTGACCTCTGACAAACTAACCCAGCTAGATCTGCACCCTCCAGGAGATCTAGCTGCTCTGTAGATTTTATGACCCCTGCTTGTGCATGTACCTCCCAGCTGCGATAAGGTGATAATTTTGTTCTTTTGAGTTCCCTAGGAATGTGATGACCCCTGAACAGAGAATCTAGGCTAATAGCCATCATCAGTGAAAACTGAAAGATCTGGTGTGTCGACTCCCAGTCTGTAGCACCAGAAGGTCAACATTCCTAACCCTCTCCCCTATATAACTGCTGTAAGATTTTGTGCCCCTTTAAGATGGTTTTTTCCAGACATTAGTCAGCCATCTTCCCTCTTGCTAGCAAGCTGTAATAAAAAAATTCCTTTTCTCCTACCACCTTGCCTCCTGACTATTGGCATGTCTTGCTGCGAGCAGAAGGCCCCATGTTGGGCGGTAATAATAGGAGAAGCTCTGAAAACAGCATAGAAATTATCCTTTTGTAATGGAAATGTACATTAGAAAGGGGGCCTGAACCAGGCAGAGGGCTAATGGCAGAGATCACCTCACCTGAGAGACTTACCTGCATGGCAGAGCAACCTTTGTTTACCCAACATTTCTTCATCTCACCTTCATGAATTGCCTTCCCCGCCTTTGAAGCCCCAGACCCCTGATCCTTTCCTTAGCTCAGGATGATGTATAAATCTCAATCTTCTGGCTGCTTTTTGAATCATATCTGTGGGGCTCCTGGATGTACATACATAGATATGTAATTAAAATTTCTTTTATTACAGACAATTTCACCCAAAAACCTAGAAGAGTGGAGGGAAAATTATTTTTCCTCTCCTACACCACCACTAAAAGTTGAGGACCCCAAAAGAGCTTTTTTGTATGTGGATAATATCTATTGGTAGTTGCAATTAGAAATTAAATCTAAACAAAATTCAAGTCACTTAAAAATAATAAGCCCATCAAATATTAACATGGAAAACATTTTAATGAAAAATAACTATATTTGCAACACACACACACAGTGAGAAGAATGACATTGTTTTACACTTTTGCAGACATTAAAGCCACCCAAAACTGTACTTCCTCCAAATTTAACTGACACATCTCCACTTTCATGTCCGGGACTTCTCAGCACTATCTGGTAGAGCTGACCATTTTGTTAGCTGACCACAGTCTCTTTAAAAACTCTCTGGTTTCAACACCACAGTGGATGACTTCCCTCCACCTCGCCAGTCCCTGCTCCTCAGTCTTCTGATGGCTTCTCAGCCAATCCTATGAAGTTTGTGATTTTCACTCTCTGTTCTTTCTCCAGGTTTTCTTATCTAGCCCCAGTGCTCCAGGTTCTGTGCATTTACTGATGACTCCTAAATTTAGATTCCCAGCTCAGAACAATAATCTGAATGTTAGAATGATATAGCCAATGAGACAGAAATCTGACTGTATTCAGTTCCCTGCTTCAAGCCCCTCAGTGGCTTCCTATTGTTCTTAAATCCTTCCTGTACTTGCAAGGCTCCTATGGTCTGCTTTCTTCCAATTTTTTGTATCCCTAATATTGGCCTTATTACAGATTAGGTCATATAAAGAGGACTTTATATATACTAATTTACATATGCCAAGAAATTGCCATATACACACACACACACACACACACACACACACATACACACAAAAATGTCAACCCTGTTAACAAGAGGTTTGTGTGTATGTGTCTGTATGGGTCAGGGAGTAGGGGAGAGGGTTACACCAATAATTTCTATTTATACACCTGTTATTTGTGTGTTTTTGTTTTTTATTTTTGCTGGGGAAGAATCACCCTGAGAAACATCCGTACCAAGCTTCCTCTTTTTTGTATGTGGGCCACTGCCACAGCATGGCTGACGAATGGTGTAGGTCCCCGCCCAGGATCCAAACCTGGGCCCCCAAAGCAGAGTGCACTGAACTTAACCACTATGCCACGGGGCTGGCCCTTTTTGTGTTTTTTTTTTTTATTACAATAAGCATGTTGTATTACCAGTGTAATGATCAAAAATAATTGTTCTGGGCCGGCCTGGTGGCATAGCAGTTAAGTTCGTGTGCTCCGCTTCAGCAGCCCGGGGTTCACAGGTTCGGATCCTGGGCATGGATCTACACACCACTTGTCAAGCCATGCTGTGGCAGGCCAGCCCCGTGGCTTAGCGGTTAAGTGCACGAGCTCCCCTACTGGCGGCCCGGGTTTGGATCCCAGGCGCACACTGATGCACCTCTTGTCCGGCCATGCTGAGGCTGCGTCCCACATACAGCAACTAGTAGGATGTGCAATTATGACATACAACTATCTACTGAGGCTTTGGGGAGAAAAAGGGAAAAAAAAAAAAAGGAGGAGGATTGGCATGGATGTTAGCTCAGGGCTCATCTTCCTCAAAAAAAAACAAAAAAACAAACAAAAAAAAGCCATGTTGTGGCGGCGTCCCATATAAAGTAGAGGAAGATGGGCACGGATGTTAGCCCAGGGCCAATCTTCCTCAGCAAAAAAGAGGAGGATTGGCAGCAGATGTTAGCTTAGGGCTAATCTTCCTCAAAAAAAAAAAAAAAGTTGTCCAATTGAAAACAGAAAGAAAGCAAAATGTAGTCCTGAAAAGTTCATCATAATTCATATATATAAGACTTGACATTAGACAAAAGAAGCAAAACGTTTTTCATTATACTGTTACAGTAAAAAACATAATATAAAGCCAATACAGAGCCCACTTAATATAAAGCCAATACAGAGCCCACTTGATAACTGCTCAAAGGACATCCAATCTGCACTCAATTCTAAGGAAGTGGACAGTTAATATCTGTAGTTCAATAATAGCTAGTTTCTCAAACCTCAAGAAATTTGCAACTAGCCCAAAATCAACACTATAAACCTATTTTGACAAGACAGGAAAGATAAATATGCTCATTCAACTATAAATGTGCCCATTCAAGGTGTAGGTGGCAGAGTCCATTCGGAAACCTCCCCCTCAGGGCACAAAGATAAAGAGAAACACTTTTGCTTGTTCTTTTTATTTCAGGTACAAAGAATAGTACATAAAGTAAATGTCTATGCACCATCACCAAGATTCAATAGTTATCAATATTTTGTCACACCTGGCTTCATTTATTCCCTTCCTTCCCCCCTCTTTTTTGTTGGAGTTCTATAATGAAAATCATAAAAACACAACTTCCCCCTTATATGTCTTACTATGACTTTGTAGGAATCAGGGCATTTCCTGAATCCTCATGTTATCACATCTAACAAAATGAACAGGTCCCTGACATCACCTAATGCCCACCGTACTCACATTGCCCTTACCGAGTCAGAAATGTCTTTTTCAGTTGTTCAAATCAGGCTCCAAAAAAAGATCCACACATTGACTATATCTATTTTCCTAAAAAATATCAAGATTTTTCATGGGAGAGAAAAACAAGGGGAAATAACATCAGCATCATGTCAAGAGGGAAAAAAGGCTAAGGTATATAGTTTTGTTCAAAATAGGGAAAGATATGAAAGTTAACTTTGCTGCATGCACACATCCATATGTAATTTCATCTTCATAACTTTCTTGCAAAATAAGGATTATCTACATTTTGCAAATGAGTTTAAGTCTACCATGGAAAATGAGCAGGACCTAGGTCCTTCTGGTGAAGTTAGTGTAGTGTCCCAGAGTTTAAACATGTACTATGGACATCTTTTGTAATGGCCTAGTGCCTACCGTTCAGAGTTCTTTTGAAATACTGCCACTCCTGGGATATAGGTAGGGGTCAATAAATGTTAGCTATATTTGTAAGAAAATTCTGAATAAAAATAGGTACACCATCATGCTTGCATATTTTTTATTACCCAGTGACTCATCTTTTATTCTCTGACATGGTATCTAACTGTAATGTCTGTTATTAATAAAACTTTACAATGCTCCACAAGGTTATAATAAGTCACCATGCTGTAAAATACAATGCATAATAGCAAAGAATTTAGGATGAAATGAAAATTATGTATAGAGTTTCTAAGAAAGCTGATGTGGTGTGTGCCACCTGTAAGAGATAATGGAAAAAATGTCAAATCCTGATGTGTTAAAGGCTTGCTCTATGACGCCCACCCCACCTCTTTCAATTGTGCCGTTTGGTAAAACTAAGGTTACAATCTGCTCCCTGGGTGTAGACAGCTTGGATGTGGCAGGAATAGCACAATCCAACCTTTATAGAGATGACCCCACATTGACTGCTTCTCTTTTGGTTTAATCCCTTGCAAACTCCATCCGCACTTTCTGACGATCTTAAACAGTCAGCCTCATATCCAGCAAACCCCTGCAACAGTCCTGGAGAGAGGCATTACTAGCACTGTTTTCTGGATAGTTGTTGAAACTTTCTTCATGAGGAGTAAAAAATTGGGATGATTAGATTGACTGGTGTTTTAATATAACAGCTTACCCACCTTCCATTATTAAAAAAACCAAAACTATAGGGGCTGGCCCAGTGGCGCATGGCAGTTAAGTGCGTGCGCTCCGCTGTGGCGGCCCAGGGTTCGCCCGTTTGGATCCGGGCGCTCACCAATGCACTGCTTGGCAAGCCGTGCTGTGGCGGCGTCCCATATAAAGTGGAGGAAGATGGGCACGGATGTCAGCTCAGGGCCAGTCTTCCTCAGCAAAAAAAGGAGGAGGATTGGCAGATGTTAGCACAGGGTTGATCTCCTCACAAAAAAAACACAAAAACCAAAACTATTAAAGTGATCTAGCCTGTCAGGGAGTTTCCATTCACAATCTGTTCCTGTACAGATTCTGAGAGGTTTTGAATCAGGTTCTACGTGGAAATAAGGCCTCAGAGGTCTAGTAAAATTGTCAGTGATGGTATAGATATGAGATTTCTCAGTCATGTTATAAAATGAGATCTCATCCAGCTCGTAGTCTAGGAAAACACCAATGCTTCTGGGTTTCACTTCTAACAGTAGAGGGGTTGGAACAGCTCCTGGTGCATCATAGCTATCTCCTTGCAGTCGAATCCTCCAGCATCCCTGCCGGACTGATGGAGGTCTCCTCGCCTTCGTGGGAAGAGAGTCTTTGCAAACCCTGATAGCCCATTCAGACTGGTCTCCCACTTCTATCTCCCAGAAATGCCTGCCAGAATGAAGATATGGAAAACTCAGCACAACTGCGTTGACTGTAAATCTTTTTGGAAAATCAGGAACGTTTTGTTTTCTCTTTGTAAATCTCACACTTTTTTTTTATCCTCAGAGACCATCAGGTGAGGGTGTGCTGTCTCAGGGTCTAGAATTATATCTACTCTAAATTTCTGTATAATTTTCTGCAAAGCAGAATGCTGGAGGGGGAAACTGCAGCCTTCTCTCCTTAACTGAATGGAAAAGATTGATGGGCTCATCTCATCCTCAGACTTCTGGTGGAAATTCTTAATTTGTGAGAGCAATTCCACTTCAGACAGCACACTGTTCTCTACTGCCTTACTTAGTAGACCTTTGAGGGTCGAAATGTAGTCTGAAAATGGGGTTATGTTTGCACTGAGTTTCTGTTGAGTGTCCTTCTCTTAGCTAACCTTGAGAGAACTGCCTCTTGATCATGGTCTAAGAACTGCTTCAGGTGCTCAAATTCAGAGACTAATTCCTGCCTTGGGTTTTCCATCTTCTGTCTCAGTTCTAAGGGTTTTTTGCTTTGAATGCTTATTAATTTCTGAACGTCTGCCACCTGCGTCTTCAGGGACTCGATGTAACTGCTGAGTCTCTGCCTGTGATGAGAGGCGGCTTCCTCCAGGGGCCTCACCTGGTGGCCCTGGTGGTCAGGGGGCTGAGTGCACAGGGGACACAGCACCTCTAGGTCCTCCTCACAGAAGAGGGTCAGGAGCTGGTTGTGCTTCTCACACAAGCGCCTGTCTTCCTGCCTCTTCTTCTTGCTCCTGGTGATGTGGAGGAGCTTGGTGATGTCAATCATCCTTCCCAGCTGGATGTTGCTCCTGAAGTGCCTCTGTTGGCATGGGTGACGGCAGACAGGGCAAGGGAACATGTCCCATAGATCTTCCCAGGACTGTTGGATGCAAGATCGACAGAAGTTGTGGCCACATTCGATGGTGCCAGGGTCTCTCAGATAATCCAGACAGATGGGACAGTTGGCTTCTGCCTGGAGTCCTGCCAGGGCTGTTTCAACTGCCATTGGGCCGTGAATGAAGGACTGGACTGAAGGGGGTTTCTTCAGGAGGCTGGGCTCTGCAGTGAGAAATGGATACACCCTCAAATCTCAGTCCTCATTTTGCTGGCAGCCCATCAAGTCCTGTGAGTCTTCAGACCTTTTATTTCCAGCTGCCAAGAGGAGCTCTTTCCCACGGCCTGCAGCTAGTCACAGGTCAGCTGGCCAGTCACTCCTCCAGCCTTTAGAAACTCAGAGAAAATGAAGCCAAGCTAAGAAGCTTTCTTGGTCAGGAGAACTCTTGTTGCCTCTGTAGGGGAAGAGGGAGAATCTCCCTCTGCCCTTTCCCTTAAGGTTCCTCTGGCTGGCCAAATAATTAAAAAGACAGGTTAGCAGGAGAAAATAATACCAAGTTTAATAACATGTATACATGGGAGAAACCAGGGACACTGAGTTTCTCAACACAACAGCAGAGATTCTCGTCTTAAATACCATCTTCAGACAAAGACAAAGGAGGATGCTGGGGGTGGGGGGAATCAGTTACAGGAGATTACCAGAAAAGCACAGTAAACAAGAATAAGGTTATTATGCAGATTTAAGGCCTCACCTTTCACATTGATAAGTCTTTAGAGATGGGGCCATCCCCCCCCACTCCCAGCACAGAGAGGGAGATACATTTACAAATGGAGATTTCCCTTATAAATGTAAATGTCTGGCAACTTCCAGCAGGGCCAGGCAGAGAATGTGGCCAGGAAGAGACAGAATTTTGATAAGAGGGTCTTGGTGCCTTTCCTATTGTAACATCTATTTTACATTATATTATAGCCATCATGATAGTAACTCCTTCTTGAAACAGATCTTTTATGTTAAGTTCTTTAGGCATTTTGGGAGGGGAAACCCAAATGTTCTTCCTGAGTTTTCTGAGTCTTTACTGTCTTCAGCTTGAAATAATCTGCACACCAGAGTGGTGCATCTTGGGGTGGCCTGCCCTGAGCACCATCACCTCACATAATTAGTTGAGGTTGGTGAGAAGATATTTCTTCCCTAAAAAAAAAAAAAAAGAACTTTGGGGTTATTTCAGGTGGTCCTACCCACTACCACATTCTAGTCAAACACAGATTATCCTCTCCTAACCCGCTCTTTCATTCCCTTGCCTTTATTATTGTGCCCTGTCTACTCCCACCCACCTGGTGCCACAATCCCCACATCCCATTCACCCCAACTGGGGCTGTGGGAAGCGCATAGCCTCTGGACGGATAGATGGACCACACCCAAATTAGAACACAACCTTGGTCAACTATTCGTGTGACTTGGGGGATATGATTTTACGTCCTGAAGTGGTTCAGAAAATGTCACCCCAGCCAAAGAAATCCTGAGGAAAAAAAACAAAGCTGGAGGCATCACAATCCCTGACTTCAAAATATCCTACAAAGCTATAGTAGCCAAAACAACATGGTACTGGCACAAAAACAGACACACAGATCAAAGAAACAGAACTGAAAGCCCAGAAATAAAACCACACATCTGTGGACCGCTAATCCTTGACAAAGGAGACAAGAACATACAATGGAGTAAGGAAAGTCTCTTCAAAAAATGATTAAGACTGGACAGCCACATGCAAAAGAATGAAAGTACACCATTATCCTACAGCATATGCAAAAATTAACTCAAAAAGGATTAAAGGATTGAATGTGATACTTGAAACCATAAAACTCCTAGAAGAAAATATAGTCAGTACACTCTTGGACATCAGACTTAGCAGCATCTTTTCAAATACTATGTCTACTCTGGCAAGGGAAACAAAAAAAAAAATAAACGAATGGGACTACATCAGACTAAAAATCTTCTGCAAGGCAAAGGAAACCATGAACAACACAAAAAGACAACCCACCAACTGGGAGAAAATATTTGCAAATCATATATCCGACAAGGGGTTAATTTCCAAATTATATAAAGAACTCATACAACTCAACTACAAAAAAACAAACAACCCAACTAAAAAATGGGCAAAGGATCCAAATGGACATTTTTCCAAAGAAGGTATATAGATGGCTAACAGGCACATGAAAAGATGTTCAACATCATTAATTATTACCTATTATTACTAATTATATTAATTATTAATATAAATGCAAATCAAAACTATGAGAGATCACTTTACACCTGTTAGAATGGCTATAATTAAGAAGACAAGAAAAAAGAAGTGTTGGAGAGGATGTGGAGAAAAGGGAACCCTCATACACTTCTGGTGGGAATGCAAACTGGTGCATCCACTATAGAAAAGAGTATGGAGATTTCTCAAAAAATTAGAAATAGAAATACCATATGGTCCAGCTATCCCACTACTGGGTATTTATCCAAAGACCATGAAATCAACAATACAAAGAGATCTATGTACCCCTATGTTCATTGCAGCATTATTCACAATAGCCAAGAAGTGGAAACAACCCAAATCCCCATCAATGGATGAATGGATAAAGATGTGGTATATATATACAATGGAATACTACTCAGCCATAAAAAAAAGATAAAATTGTGCCATCTGCAACAATATGGATGGACCTTGAATGTATGATGTTAAGCAAAATAAGCCAGACAAAGACGAACACCATATGATTTCACTCATGTGGAAGATAAACACAGATAAAGAGAACAGATTAGTGGTTACCAGAGGGGAAGGGGGTGGTGGGGTGGGTGAAAGGGGTAAAGGGGCACATATGTATGGTGATGGATAAAAACTAGACTATTGGTGGTGAGCATGATGTAGTCTATACAGAAACTGATATATAATAATGTACATCTGAAATTATACAATGTTATAAACCAATATGACCTCAATCAAAAAAAAAGTCTTGGGCCTGCCCAGTGGCATAGTGGTTAAGTTCGCATGCTCTGCTTTGGCGGCCTGGGGTTTGCAGGTTCGGATCCTGGATGTAGACCTATGTATGCACCGCTCATCAAGCCATGCTGTGGTGGTGTCCCACATATGAAAAATAGAGGAAGATGGACACAGATGGTAGCTCAGGGCTAATCTTCCTCAGCAAAAAGAGGAAGATTGGCAACGGATGTTAGCTCATGGCCAAGCTTCTTCACCAAAAAAAAAAAAGTCTTTCCCTACACCACAATCATATTAAAAAAAAATAAAGAATGTGTTACCCCCAAATATGCCATTTTGGCATGCAGATTATTTTGAGCTGAAGGCAATGAACATTCAACAGACTCAGGAAAAGCTCTTTACCTCCCCCATAACTGCCTAAAAAAAGAAAAGTATAAATGTCTTCATTTGTGGGGGAAATCTGCAATTATAAAGGAAATTTACATTAGAAAGGGGGCCTGTAGCAGGAAGAGAGCTATTCCCAGAGATCACTTTCTCACCTAAGAGATTTATCTGCTCAACAGGGCAACCTTTGTTTACCAAACACTTCCTCCTCTCACCTTCCTGTGAATTGCCTTCCCCAACCCAGAAGCCTCAGACCCTCTCTCTTTCCTTAACTCAGGATGGTATAGAGGTCTCAATTCTCTGGTTGACTTTTGAGTCTCATATCTTTGTGAAATTCCTGTGTGTAAATATGTAATTAAAATGTTTTTTTCCTCCTGTTAATCTATTCTATGTCATTTAATTCTTAGACCAGCCACAGAATCTAGAAAGGTAAAAAGGAAATTTTTTCCTCCCCTACAATCCCAACCTCTTAGAATCAGGTAAATGAAAATAATCATATCACTATAAACATCTGTCTTATGAGAATATAGAAGAACTTAAGGAAACCCCCATCAATTTTGAGGCTTTGTTACTACCCAATGTGGGGCTTTCTGTTCGCTGCAAGACATGCCAATAGTCAAGAGGCAAGGCGGTAGGAGAAAAGAACTTTTTTTTTTTTTAATAAAGATTTTATTTATTTATTTTTTTCCCCCCAAAGCCCAGTAGATAGTTGTATGTCATAGTTGCACACCCTTCTAGTTGCTATATGTGGGACTTGGCCTCAGGATGGCTGGAGAAGTGGTGCCTTGGTGCGCGCCCTGGATCCGAACCTGGGCCACCAGCAGCAGAGTGCGCGCACTTAACCGCCAAGCCATGGGGCCGGCCCAAGAACTTTTTTTTTTATTACAGCTTGCTAGCAAGAGGGAAGACAGCTGAAAGGGAAGACGGCTGACTAATGT